CCATTATCTGGTCCCACCTAATTCTTCTCAGACCTCATCCCTTGCCCTTTCTTCTTAAATTTCTATCTCGGCAACACTGATTTTGCCTTTTGCCTGGTAATTCACCAGTGTGTGTGTGTGTGTGTGTGTGTGTGTGTGTGCATGCACACTGTTCCTGCTACCCCCACTGCCCTCCCTACTCTACCCAACCCTAACATCTAGAACCTGGCTACCTCAAGTGTAGTCCTACAACTCCACGTCCCAGGGACTGGTTAGAACTGTAGAGTTTCTAGCCTGCCCCAAACCTACTGAATCAAAATCTGCATTTTATTAAGATTCCTGTGATTATACTACTACTACATTTTCATAAGGAAACTTAAAGTTGGAGAAGCCCTGTTGCCAAGATCCCACCTCTTCCAGAAGCCCTCCTTGATAACCAGTAGCCCTGGCCTCCCACCACGCTAGGGCAGATGTCCCTCCTTCAGTGCTCCCAAACTTTTGCTCATCCCATTTATTACAGAGTATCTTGCATATGCTTATCTGTCTATGTGTCTGTCTTTGGTTCTAGTCTAGGGGCTCCCCACAGGCTGTAGACCACACCATCCTTGCGGCCCCTGTGCTGTACAAGGCACGGCATATGATTGGAGCTTAAAAAATGGCATTTGTCACAGCTAGTAATAAACTCCTTGTGATTTTCAACTTTAATAACCAACTTTAAATAACTTTTATAATTAGCTTTAACTTTAATAATAATTTAAATAAGTTTTAATAACTTTAATTTAAATGTTAGTTTAATAACTAAAACTTTAATCACTAACTTTATTTTTATTTATTTTTTTAGAGAGGGGCAGAGGGAAAGGGAGAGAGAGACTCCCAAGCAGGCTCCACGCCCAGCACATAGCCTGACACGAGGCTCAGTATCATGCCCCTGAGATCATGACCTGAGCCAAAATCAAGAGTCAGACACTTAAGTGACTGAATCTACCCAGATGCCCCTAATAACTAACTGTAATAACTAACTCAGATACCTGGGAGCTATGTGCAAATTATCTCAATTTAGGTTAATTAGGTTAATCATGGTATACATCTGAACCCTGATACTTTGAATGTTGTATTTACATATTTATTTTGAGATATTTAAAATATTATACAATTTTAAGATATCATAGAATTTATTTTTTATAATGGAAACTTTCTAACGTACACAAAACCAGGAAGTAATAATGAGCCCATTGTCATGCAGTAACAACAAATATCCATTTTTTTTTTTTAAACCATTCTAGTTTCATTTATTTCCCTCATCTGACCCATTCACTCTTTGAGAGACTAGGTCATTTTAAAATAAATCCCAGACATATTATCATTTCAATCACGAATATTTCAGTATGTATCTATAATTTCAAATGACTTAAAAAATTATTTGTATATGTATCTCCACTGTGCCATTATTGTACCTAATTAAATTAACAGTGATTGCTTAATATAATCTAATAGTCTGTGTTCAAACTTCCCTATTTCAAAGATGAATTTGTGTAGCTGAGTTTGTAGAAATCGGGTGAATGTTTTATAGCAAACAAAAAATAGCTCTCAGCAACGAGAAAGCCCATGGTTTCAGGCCCACATCGACTATGTGAAGGAAATTATATTTGCCTTTAAATGCCATTTGCAGGTTCCCTTCCACCTCACAACTAGATTACTTAACTTTTACAAAACTGTACCAAACTTTTATAAAGAATCTAGGTAAAACAGAACAAATCAAAAGCCATGCTGAGGTCCATTCAAGCACGTCTTTTGAAAGCAATGAAATAAATGGGAATTAGAATGGAGAGGATGATTACTTAACAAGAAAGAGATATGCAAAGAACAGATATTAAGCCAAATGGTTTCCCCCTCGATAGCCAAACCAACAGGACTCAGAGTTGTAGAGGATGGGATCTAGAGGGATGGTAACCTTGATGACTTGAAATTTGCTTTTAATAATCTGCATTTCTCCTGTCCACAATAGGAACTTGGGGTTTCTGAGAAACATACTGTCCCATGTGGTTTGAAGACCAAATCCTATTACCTCAGAGTTATTCTCTTTTTAACGGTAAAGTTCTGATCCATGCTCCACAGGTCAAGAGCACAGTTCAAGTTTCTCTTTGCCCCCTGTTTGAATCATACTTCATTGCTGCCTCCCTGCTTGTCTTAGCTCTGTCCGAAACATGCCGATGGGCAGAGATTCCGGTCTCCACACAATGGCCCGCCATTCAACCACATTCTGCTTTGTCCCTAAACATTGACTCTCCCGGCTCCTGCTGGGTCTGTTATATTCAGATATGAACTTTCCAGGAATCTGATCATGTCACAAGCCTTTTCCTGTATGAGAAGTTCAACGCTAATTATGAATAGTGGGCTTCACACAGAGGGTTAGTATTATTCATGAAAATTATGACTCCACATCCAGAAATACAACAAAACTGGCCTAAAATAGGCTGGCTGCATCTCCATCGAGTCCACTAGGCAATTACCAAGGCCTCTTGCTTCAAACAGCACAGGAGTTTTTCTCGACTACGTTAATCAGACACACTAGGAGCACAATGTTCTGCCAGACTCTCAAGGTCTGAGTCTCAGCTAGATGGGGAGCCCTGCCGGTGCCCACAGGGTGAATGGAAGGGTTTTCCAAAGAACCAAAGCCAGACACTGTTCTTTCCCCTACACCCCCCAAACCAGGTACTCCCCAGCTCTCATTCCCAACCTCTGTATGTCTCCCTGCCCAGACCATTTCAAGGCCAACTTTAGAAGCTTTGAGAAGGCTATTAAGGGGCCATAAGAAAAGGAAATGATATTTAATTTTCCTTTTTTGGAACAATGAAGCACATCCTGCAAATATTAGGAATTAGAGGAGTACTAGACGGGTTGTACCATTTTCCGGTAATTCTCTCTTCTGGAACTTAGTTTCAGTGACCACATGAGTCGGCTCCCATTGGCCCAAATTATATTTTATAAATGCAAGTTGAGGATTATCTTTCCAAATAAAAGCAGCCAGATTGAAATCCCCTCTTTGCCATTCCTGAGAGAATGACATAGGCTAGTACTAAAAGACGATCTTTGTGTAGAACAAATGGACCGAGCAAAATCTGCTTTCCTCTCCCCCTGCCCCCTTTCTTCTTTACATAACTAGAGCCAAATGAGATGTTTTTCATTTTAAAAATTTGATTAAGTAGACTGAGCAAAAGCCCATTCTGCTGGTCTTTACTGTTTTCTCAATTTTGGGACTGAATCAAGGAATACTCGGGTTGGAAGGGGAGTGAAGCCAGGGCCTCACTGCCAGGCCATGGTCTCATTTGGAAGTTTAACTTTTGGAAGGTGAGTGGTGGGCCCTGCAGCACCCCTTCCCCACGAGGCAGCAGAATTCAGACTGCTGTGGCAGGCATGAGTGTGAGGTCCCAGGTCCCCCACAAACCTCCATATCACGCTACATACACAGCCTCTGGGGCTAAGGAGTAAGGAAGGTGGCAGGGCAAGGAGTGAGGGGAAATAATATGGTAAAAAACAATCCAGACAGAATTATTATGAATGAGCTGTCCTTTTCCTCAGCCTCGTAACTGAGAAAAAACCTGCTCCCTTGGCATATTTAAAAAGATATTACAGGCGCCTGGGTGGCTGTTGGTTAAGTGTCCAATTCTTGATTTTGGCTCAGTTCATGATCTCAGGGTGGTTAGATCGAGCCTGCTTAAGTTTCTCTCCCACTGCCTTTCCCATCCCTCTCTCTCAAAAAAGAAAGAAAAAGGGGCTCCTGGGTGGCTCAGTCGTTAAGCATCTGCCTTCGGCTCAGGTCATGATCCCAGGGTCCTGGGATCGAGCCCCACATTGGGCTCCTTGCTCCGCGGGAGGCCTGCTTCTCCCTCTCCCACTCCCCGTGCTTGTGTTCCCTCTCTCGCTGTCTCTCTGTCAAAAAATAAATAAAATCTTTAAAAAAAAGAAAAAGAAAGAAAAAAAGATCCTATGAACACTACATTAGTAAACCCCTTCCAGTACCATTCCAGTTTTGGTTTCTGTACTTTAAACCTTCCTACACTATTTTCTACCTTGTTTTCAAGTGTCTTCCGAAGAATCCCTGCCACATGGCATATTCCCTGAGGGTCAGGGTAACATTCTGCCTTTGTACCTTGCATATAATAAACACTGAATATAGAAATGAATGAAGGAAACAGCTAGAAAACAGGACTTGGAGTCAAAGGCTGAAGGAACTGGGCTTTTCAGTAGTAGAGAGGGATGAGGTACAAGTTATCACACAAAACAAGAGAACATTTTTATGCTGATATGAGGAAAAGGACTATCACATTGGCTTTGGAGGGGATCAATTAGATTTTTCCTGAATACCATTTTTCAGGGGAGATAGCGCATCAAATGCAAATAATAAGTAATGTCAAAGTTTAGTTTTACTGTCTATAAAGGGATTCATCATTCACTCTAGACAATTCTCTCCCAAAAGTGTGAGGTAGTTTTTTTTTTAAAGATTTTATTTATTTATTTGACAGAGAGAGAGAGAGAGAGCACAAGCAGGGGGAGCAGCAGGTAGAGAGAGAGGGAGAAGCAAACTCCCCTGCTGAGCAGGGAGCCCGATGCGGGGCTCGATCCCAGGACCCTGGGATCATGACCTAAGCCAAAGGCAGACGCTTAAGGACTGAGCCACCCAGGCGCCCCATGCGTGAGGTAGTTTTGTTTCCCTGGCCTGCTACTGAACTCTTGCCATCTCTCTATCCATGAATGAATCAGCATGAGGAAATTAAGTAGAAGTAGAAATTCTGGGTGGGCTTATCCATGAAGGGAATGCAGGTCCTGAGGGAACCAGGCCCCCTATTTCTAAAAAGCCTCAACACGAGAAGGGAAGATCCTCAGCCCAGGATGGCTTCTCCTTTCACCTGCTTCATGAAATCCACCTGCCTGAACAACCTGCCTTCCAGCAGTGGCCTTCCATTCTGTACCCTTGGTGCTTAGTGTCCTGAGACCTTTCAGGTGGTGCATTAGAGCCTTACTCTGACAAGCAGGAATCTCGCAGTACTTCCAGTAGACACCATCCTCATGCTCCGCCACGTAGCACCAGGGGCTCACATCTCCATCTGGATTTCTGTCAGGGAAAGGACACACAAGTACCATTTCTGTCATGTTAAGTCAACTGTTTCATTGCTTTTCAGGTTTACTAAAAAGCGTCAGCTTCTGTGTTATTTCTAATAATTGGTATGCATCTCAGTGCTGCCCTTTATGAAAAGAAAAATGGGGGGCACCTGGCTGGCTCAGTCTGAAGAGCATGCGGCTCTGGACTTCGGAGTCGTGAGTTTAAGCCCTACGCTGGGTGTAGAGATTACTTAAAAAAAAAAAAAAAAAAAGAAGAGAAAAATGGTAACACTACAAGAACTAACTCATGCACTCTGACATATACTTCAGAGTTTGGGGGCGGGGGCTGTATGTGGTGAACAAAGGTGATATAATTTCACAAAGGTTCATGACAGTGTAACCAGGACAATTAACCACAGAACAAACCATGCCAAGCAGCACTAGCACTTAAGTGTGCACACAGTGACACCCATGGCTGAGAGCACAGGTACTCACAATACTGTGGAAAAGAATATGAACGGGCCCAGGGGCGCCTGGGTGGCTCAGTCAGTCAAGTGTCTGACTTAGGCTCTAGTCATGATCCCCTGACCTCAGGGCATCGGAGCCTCAGCTGGCTCTGAGCTCAGTGGGGAGTCTGCTTCTCCCTCTCTCTCTCCCCCCCTCTGCCTGCTTGTGCTCTCCCTCTCTCTCTGTCATATAAAAAAAAAAAATCTTTACATGAAAAAAAAAGAATGCGAATGGATACACATGGTCAGGATGGCAATTTGGCAACTAGAGTCAAAGGCCCAAAACATATGCAAAACCCCTTTACCAGGCAATTTCTCCTTTAGTACTTTAAGTCAATTTCCGCTTACAAAGATGTTCACCACAGCATTTTTGTAATACAAAAAAGTTAGAAACAACACTTAAGATTTGTTTTGAAAGATTTTATTTATTTATTTGAGAGAGAGAGAGAGAGAGAGAGAGAGAGAGAATGAGAGACAGAGAGCATGAGAGGGGGGAGGGTCGGAGGGAGAAGCAGACTCCCCATCGAGCAAGGAGTCCGATGCAGGACTCGATCCCAGGACTCCAGGATCATGACCTGAGCCAAGGGCAGTCGCTTAACCAACTGAGCCACTCAGGCGCCTAAGGACTGGTTAAGTAAATATGTTATATCCATATAAGAGAATGATGAGCAGCTAGTAAAAATGCAGTGTAGAGACACATTAATTAATATAAAAAGATATCCATATGTCTTGTTAGGTTTTTTTTTTTTAAAGGTAGTTCGAAAACACAATGGGTGACGCAATCCTATCATTTGAAAAGATGTATTTAGCCAAGGATACACATCAAACCCTTGAAAGTATCTCTGGAGAATGGGACTATCAGTAATTTATTTTTTCTTTTCTGCTTCTCTTTATTTTCCTACTTCTTCTACAATGAACACTGATTGTGTAATTTTTTTAAACAATAAAATAAAATTCACATAATACAGACTCCACTGACAAGCGTTCACCAGCATCAGGCTAGTTGGCACATGCTTGACAGAAATGGGTCCTATTCCTCCCTCAAAATACTAACTTCTCAGAAAATTCTGAAGAAAGCTAAGCCAAGGAGTTTCAGTCAGAACCTGCAATCCTGTGATCCTGGTACCAACTTCTGATGCAGCAGTAATATTTTTTAAAGGTTTACTTCACATTTCTAAAATGCCCTTGAAGGTCTTTTCAACTCAAGGGTGCCATGACAATCATGGGCCGTCCTGCTGAAACAGACCCCAAAATGGCAAGGGCTCCACACACACAGAAAAGCCTTGCCTCCAAGCTCCCTTTCTTTCGACTCAAAACACTGGAAACCTGACACTCCAGTTAGGCCGGAAATGGGCATATAAAGACCCTGCAGCGGGAGCTTTGGAGCCACCCCTATCGGGCCTGAGAGGGATAAGCCTATTGTGTGGCCCAGAAGATAAGCCGCCCTGAAGCACAAAGGGTCCTTTCATTTTTTTGTGCCCAAAGGCAGGTGCCAGCGCCAACTCTGCTCTTCCCTGTCCCTCTGCCTTCCCCTCTCATCCAGATCCCTCAGCCCAGAGAAGTGCATTCCCATCACTCGCCATCTCCCAGACATCTCCACTGCGATGGATCTGGCACCGGAGCCCAAGACAAACATGGTGTCGGATGTCAGCTGAGAAATCAAAGCAGGAGAACTTGTACAAAGCCCTTCTTTAAACAGTATTTCACTGTCATCTTCCTCCCTCTATTCAGTGTACAGCTTTGATGTAGTATTTGGTAAAGACGTTAGAAAACAACTGTTTATTATCAATGTCAAAACCATTCTGAAAAGCATCAGAATAGCTTAATAAAGAAGAAGCAAATGCATCTTGGATTTCGCTGCAGTGCTTAAAAAAAAAAAAAGGCCTGGACTCACTGATGTGATAATAATCAACATTTCGGCCTCCCTTTTTTCTGAAGCAGAAACTGGTAGTTCAGGTCTGGTACATTCCATCATGTCAAAGGAGAGGCTGCTGCTGGCCAGGGCTGAGGAGGAAGGTGGTCCCCCCCGCCCCGGCTCTCCCAATGGAGAACCACCTGCATTTCTGGGAGCCTGGGTATGGCTGGGTGCTAATCTATGAGAAAAGACCTTTTCGTATAAATTAAACCTCTTTGGGAATTTAAAATTCCCCCTTAAAGTCCGACTTAAACCTAGGCGTTCTTCTGAGAAGTCGTGCTTGACAGAAAGCAACAGAATAATAGCATAAACTAGTAGCCCACACTCAAGAGACACTCTGGAATGAGAATATAAGTAACTATTGTAAAAACAAACAAACAAACCTTCCAAACACTGGTTTCACTTCCTAAATATTCTTCCCAACCCAACCCAACTCTTTCTATGAGTAGCAAAAGGGAAGGAAATAAACCAGAAATGGAGTGGGGTTAATTTCTTTAATTATGCAAAAAAGGTTTTATATGAATATGTATAACTCTGAAAATAAAACGCAAAAGAATGACTTAACGAGCATGTGTAACTTTAACAATAAAATGCAACAGACAGCAAAATGTGAAGTAACACAAATTGTTACCTCTGGGAAATGGGGCTTGCTGAGGATTTTAGGGGAAAAGATGTCAAAAGATGACCTTATTTAAGCACTATTTATCTGTAGTTTTTGAGAATTTTTTTTGGAAAAGCTTTTAACATTTTTATAATAACAACTAAAAAATAATCCAACAGCCACTGTGGGGGAATGGCCAGTTGGAACAAATTAGAGCAGAGGTGATGGAAAGAGCTGCAGGCACAGGGATGGCCTGGACGACAGGCATCCAGAAGGGTCCTGGAGTGTTAGTAAAGGTACGTAGGGGGAGCAGAAGGTGACCACTGTGGCCCATGCAATGCAGGTATGAATGTGTATTCCAACATACTGACAGAACCAGGGACACAGGATGTGACTCAAAGTGCAGCTCAGCGAACACTTCTCCCTGTCCTGATGGCTCAAGAGGCTGCCTTTGCACCTGTCCTAATAATAACTTAATTCGACACAGTGCTGAACCATGAGTCACATTATCAGGATCTTGAGAAGAAATAGCTTAAATGAAGCTATAACCAAAAGTGCTTAGAATCTTTCTTTGCTCTTGGCCCTTTAGACCAGTGATTCTTAACTTGTTTGGCATCACCGTTAACTTTGAGAATCTGATCAAAGTCATAATCCGATCAAAGTCATAAACCTCTGTGGAAAATCTCAAGTACACAGCTGAAGCGCCTTGGATCTCAGGTGAAGAGCCCCTGTCAGGGTCAGACAGGAGGTTAAGACCAAAGAAACACCTTATTCCACGGAGAGGAAGGACACAGCACAAATCTGATGGTTATAGCCGCTCCCAGAGCAGGGCTATCCTGGGCTGGCGGGAGGTGGGGTAACGCAGGGTACCTTCCTTTGCTCAGAAGCAGAGGGCGGTTTGGGCCACAGATGGTGCTCTGCTTGACCACCACGTTCACAGGAGCTTAAAAAGCTCTGCTATCTATGTAGTGTCCACTGGTGGCAGGGCCAACTAGGAAAGCCCTTCCCAAGAGACATGTAAGTGATCAGACAGGAAAGCAGAGCTCTGAAAACTTGTACCAAAGCAACCGGATTGAAAAGAGTGGTAGATTGTGTATGTGTGTGGGGGGGGCAAGGTGTGGGAGGAAGATTTTTAAAATAGTAACAAGAAAGGTCTTCTGAGTTGGCTAAAAGGAGACAAAGAAGCTTCCTGTAGTTGTGAGCAAGGCTGGAAGGGACTGGAAAAGAAGGGCAAAGATTTTTTTTTTTAAAACACTGTGTGGGGCGCCTGGGTGGCTCAGTTGGGTAAGCGACTGCCTTCGGCTCAGGTCATGATCCTGGAGTCCCGGGATCAAGTCCCACATCAGGCTCCCTGCTCAGCGGGGAGTCTGCTTCTCCCTCTGACCCTCTTCCCTCTCGTGCTTTCTATCTCTCATTCTCTCTCTCTCTCTCTCAAATAAATAAATAAAATCTTTAAAAAAAAAAAATAAAACACTGTGTGGCCCCATCTTACCTGCAATAGTTATGCTCGCCTAGGCCCCCCTCCCCGTTGGGGTATTTCAGAGTGTTGTATGGATGCTGGAAAGTCTCGTTCCAGAACAGGCATGGTTTCCCTCCTTGTAGTGCTGTCCAGTTCTGTGTTCCCCTATAATCTGCACCATTGGCTGTGAAACATTCTAGGAGAGAGAAAAGACAGAGCAAAGTGATTTTCTGGCAACATCCATAGTCTCCTCCCTCTCTGGTTGATGTTTTATTTGTTTTGTTTGGACCCAGCTGGAAATGGAGAATGTCTTGCTAGATCCTGGATGCCGAGAAGTTAACATTGCTAGGGCTGAGTAAATCTGAAATGCAGTCCCCTTCAAGTGCTAGGCTAGTCTTGGCACTAGCTTGTCTACAGACACTTTACAGATATTTTCCCCCTAAAGTATACAGATCTCAACTCGGATATAAACAGGGAGCCAAAATATATTGAAGCCCATGAAGTGAACCAGGAAACCCCCAAATCTGGGAATAGTTGGTAACAACCATCACAAGGAATTCTGGGTGCTCGGAGGGGGTCACTGGTCTCGCCAGTGTCTCTGTGTGGTAACTAGAACCAGGTCACCAGCTGTAAGTGAGCTCTCCCCTACAGTCTGAAAGGCTGCACTGACACTTGGATTTAATAAGACCATCGGATACAGCAACGCTTTGGAATCCCAATCACACAAGTCTGGGAATGACTCACATTCCCTGGTAATGAAGAACAGTCCTCCCCATGCTGTTTGAGATAGAGATGCAACGGAACAGACAGTCAACAGGAGGGAGCAGGGGCCAAGTTGGCATTTTCTCTCACCTCTTTCCGAAATTCCTCCCTACAAGACACACTGAACATCGTCTCAGGTCCGTTTAATAAAATGACAAAATCCTTGCAGGTGCAACAATATGCTTCTAAAATCTGCTGCTCAGACTCTGGGGGGATGGGAAATGAGGCTGATAGGATTTCCCCCCACATATTGCATGCATTAAATTCACAGAGGTTCATGAGAAAGGCACAGTACAAAGAGCAATTTTAAAAAAAAAATTAGCTTACTTGAAACTGACAGAAGTACTTCAAACACTTCTTGAAGATGTATCACTAGGAACCTGACGATCTGGGGGAGTAACACTGACATTCTCAGCTTGCTTGCTTTCCTTCCCCTGGCATGCACTGACCTCTAACTTCCGGTATGAAGGACTCTTAGCACCGTCTCCTGTTGCAGGGTATGTGCCTGCTCCAGCCTAAGCATGTGAACAACATGAGTGCATCTACATTCTAGGAGCTACTTCTTTTAATATTTAAAATCTACCCACAGACCATCTCTCTTCCTGTACTCCCTTCCTCCCACTATCTGGGCCTTTTTTAAATCTGGAATACCATGGTTCATGGTTTTATGGACAGCCAAAATAACCTGGAATTCCAGGCTGTACAGAACATCAGAGCAATTTATCATGTTTGGCGTGACATTCATGTTTACAGTCAATGCAATGACCAAACACTCTGCCTAGAGTGTGCATAAATACAAAAGGTCAAAGGTAATTCAAGGAGGCAGCTCAGTGTAGCATAAAATACACTGAACCGAGAGGCTAAGCTCTGGTTTCTTGTGCTGGACCTACTGCAGGCTAGCTGTGCGACCTTGGACGAATCACTGTCATCCGCGGCACCACTCACGCTTACGTGGTGTTTCACCGTGTGCCAACCTCTGCTCTAAATGCTTTACAAATACCAACTCCCCACCGACGTGGTGGGGAGGTCCCTCAATATCCCATTTTACAGACGGGGCAACCGGGGCACTCAACCACCCTTTACAGTGCCTCTAATAGGCCTCTTCAGATCACCCTTGCTTTCCCCGCCCTCTTTCCACTCATCAGCAAATCCTGTTGACTTTCTTAAAATATATACCCTGAAACTGCCCTCTCCGTTCCATCTTGGGTGCCACCACTTTAGTCCCGTTCACCATCAGAGGACTGTATAGCCTCGTTCAGGACTCAGAGCCTCCACTTTTGCACTCAAAAGTTCCCAGGAAAATGTGAGCGCTGGGAACAAAACCCACACCCTTCATTCTTGCCTGCTAAGCCCCAGGCCTTCCCTCTCACCGCACCCTGAGCTCTTCTCCTAGTCACTTGCCATGCTCCTGCCACACTGGTCTGCTTCTAATTCCGTAAACACATCATGCTATTTCCTGCCCAAAATGTCCTTCCCCTAATATCTCCCAGTGCAGACTACATGTTATCTCCTCAGAAAACCTATCCCTACCATCTCCACTCCTAGTTTTCTGCCTTTTGCCTGTTTGCTTCATAGCATTTATTATCACTAGAAATATATATGATCTGCTAGACAGGGAGAGAGTGGGGGGGGGAGAGAGAGAGAGTGAGTGAGTGTGAGTGTGTGTGTGTGTGTGTGTGTGTACCAAACCCTATCCCGACTCCAGGGATAGAGTGGGACCTGGAAACCTGTATTTCTAAAAAATCTGCCTAGGTTAAGTAATTTGGCTTGGGAACCACTAGACTAGATGATTCTAAGAGCATCAAGCCAATCTTTTGCCAATTGCTAGAATTTTAATTGCTATGTGCTGATACATCTTTTTCTCCTACCACAAGTGGTTGAGGAGTGGCCCAGGAGCCAGAAATGCCAGCCAACCAATGGAAGGCCTTAGCCATAGACAGCAATTTGCAGGACAGTGGGGTCAGTGTTCCCAGAGGCTCAGATGACTTGATTTGTAACACAAAAGAATGTGGTGGCCATCCACACCTGTCAGTCCTCGTGAATGGGGATGAGGAGGCATCTGAGAGAGGGAATGGCAAAATGCAGGCTCGTTTGCTTCAGTCTGTTTCTCCTAGACCCAAATCTTATTCTCAGTTGCATTAGGGAAACTGAGGCAGTGTACCACATTTTATGATTATTTTCTTAATGGATTTCCCCAGTGCATATCAATTGTGGAGAAAAACAAGAAAAACAAACTTGAACATTCTGGATCAAAGTGATGTGTGCATCTTGATTTCATCAGAATACCAGGGCAGGTAATGAGGACCCTTCCTGCCTTATTGTCTACTGCTATAAAGCTGACACAAGCTCTGACTAGATAAAGAAGAAATGGCTTAAACCAAGAAGAAACAAAGTATTACACGGCCAGCTGCAGATTTAGGCATTCAGTGAAAGGGAACGAGCAAAGGTGATCGATCTCATGTCTAGCATATCATTAATTAATCCATTCAACAAGTATTTATTCAGTACACACTATGTGTCTGGCACTGCTCACAGCACTGGGGCTACACCGGTGAACACTGCAGTCACGGAGCTCCTAACAAACCAATGAAATTCACATCAGGTAGGGAGGAGCGCTGTAAGGAAAAACGGAGTAAGGGGATGGAGACTGAACGGTGGGGGTTCTTTTTTAGGGAGGGTGGGCCAGAAAAGGCCTGGAGAGGAGGAGGAATTTGAGCAGAGATGTGGTCAAAGGGAGGAAACAAAACCATGTAAACCATGTGGGGAGAGCGGTACTGGCAATGGGCACGGCAAACAGAAGACCCTTGTGGGCCCCAGTGTGCGTGGCAGGTTTGGGAACTAAAAGGCAGCTCCTCTAATTGGGATTAGGGTGAGTGCGTGGGAAGTGAAGAGGAGGGGGAGGAAAGAGGCAAGGCCAGGACATATAAGGTCTACAGCGTTATATGTAAATCAGATTTTGGCTTTTGTTCTAAATGTAAGGGGAAGCCAGTGGAGGGTTCTGAGCAGAGAAATGACACAATCTGACTTATCTTTTAAAACAACTGTCTAGCTGCTGGGTGGAGAAAGAACTCTGGAGGGGAGGAACTCCTTGGGGAGATCAGTCAGGTGGTTACAGCAGAAAGATGGGCTAGAAAGGGTGCCCTGGACCAGGCTGGCGGCCAAAAGGTGGTGAGAAGTAACCACATTCTGCATGTGCTTTGAAGGCAGATCCAAAAGTATTTGCTGGGAGGAAGATGAGTGGAGTATAACCCCAAGGACATGGGCCCCAGTGGAGACATCATGTACTACAGTGGGGAGGACACAAGAGGGACAGGGTACCTTGGGCAGAACCAGGGTTCGGCTGTGGATCGGTTAAGTCTGAGACACCTTTCAGAACACTGGGTGGAAATATACAGGAAGCAGATGGCTTGGTGAGCCTGGAGCCGAGGAAAGAGGCTGAGCGAGGCTGGAGCTAGAAATGTGGCGGTAACGGCACAGATGCGCGGAGAGAGCAGGATTACTGCGGGTGGAGAGAGAAGACATCTGGGGCTGGGTCCGGGGGCCCTGCAACATTTCAGGCATGGAAAGAGGAGGGCCTGGCCCTGATGAGTGAGAAAGTGCGCCCTGGGAGGTGGGAGAAAAGCTATGAAAGAGTGTGCGTCTCAGAAGTCAAGGGAGAAGGTGTCCTGAGCAGGAAGGAATAATAAACTGTGAACACCGAGGAATCTTCATTTCCTCATTTTCTCTGGCCAGATCCCAATTACCTCACAGAATTCATCTGTTTGACCCTATCTCTCCATTGGAAAGCTCCGAATGTTTTGTTGGGGGGACTGAATGAAAACAGCCCTTACGTTAAACATAAGCCTGACAGAAATTTAGTAATACAGCAGAAAATTTCTTCGATGAGGCTGGCATCAAAGCACCCAGAGCACTAATTCCACCCTTCTAAGCTGGTAATTCCTTATCTTTTCCCCCATCACCAAAATCCTCCAAAGTATGGCATATGACATTTATTTTTAAAACTGGAGATGCTACTTTTATTGAAATTCCCTTGCCGATAAGTGGAATCACATCAGGGTAATCAAATCCCTGGCTGAGAATCTTGTGCAAATGGTTTTGTGCCAACCAACATTTTCTGTAGGACCTGCTACCCTATGAAGGCCTGGAGGTTAATCTCCATGGTAGTAAGATCTGGAGGTAAAGACTCCGCGTTTGGGTGAAAGCTCAATACTCCTTCACCACTAATAAAAGCTAGCTGGAGCTTTCGCTCAGAAAGCTATTCTTGTTCATTATGCTTAGAATTTCGAAGGGTTGGGGTGCTTGGGTGGCTCAGTTGGTTAAGCGACTGCCTTCAGCTCAGGTCATGATCCTGGAGTCCTGGAATCGAGTCCCGCATCGGGCTCCCCACTCAGCAGGGAGTCTGCTTCTCCCTCTGACCCTCCCCCCTCTCATGTG